GAAAGCTGATTATATATCTATAGACTAAAGTAGATCTTGTTGTGTTACAATTTACCCACTTCTTCTATTTTCTTGTGTTCTTTATTTAGAGCGTAGGTGTGGATCTACTATTCACCCACATTCATATCCACCTACATCAAACGAATATCGCTTGGTAGTCCTATTGCACACTATGCTTTTTATGTTAGCAAATATTGCATACAAGTAATAATTATCTCAAGAGAACATACGACTTCTAATATTATCTCTGGTTTTTAGGAAAACTAACGAGAGGTATTTGAGCTAGGATTTGGAAGTCCTGTGTGACTTTCAGCTTAGGTCAAGAGTCACCAAAATTTCGCACTAAGCCGAAACGTCATATAACCTTTTTTAAAGTTGTTATATAAAAATTTTAATTAAAATCAATCAATTCTATATTTTGTATAATAATAGAATTTTTATTACATGTAAAAATGACACTAATATATCGATGTTAAGCTAGGACGATATGAAACTCCTACAATAGATTTAGAACGATCGAAAAAGTTTTACACATCGATTTTAGGATTTGAGTAAAGTTGAAAGTATCTATGTATATATTTCCGAGCAGTCTCATTCATGTATCGTTTCGATAAGTCCTAATCGTCAGTATTTCGAACTCATCTAAATCCGTCATAGTAACTTCTCATCGTATTAGCTTTACATTGATTCTACGGTGCCCAGACAATTGCTCCCTGGTGTGTGAATTTCGATATTAGTGAGGATGTTTTGTATACCAATTGTCCTAGCACTGATGAAAATTGATTTATGTTCGATTAAAAAGTCTAATCAAGGAATTATATAAATATTCTTATTGTTTTAATCTCGAGAATCATTTTTAGACTTAGTATTTACGGACTAGAAAATTTTAAACTTTTGACGAATATGAAATGCGTTTCAATTCATATTGTCTATATATTTTTATTCATCTCTTCACTAACATGAATTGTGTATCATGTAAACTCTACTATAACCGAATTCATATTTTTATCTTTAAAAAAATTGGATATTATTCGAACTAAATTATTCCATTGTTATATATTTATCTGATCGATTGAAAAACATCGAACAACTATGATTGTTTATCTTTAAAAAAACAAACAAAAGAGATACACAAATAAATATTCAAAATTTAAAAGTATATTAATGTTAAAAGTACGGATATGATAATATAGAACAAAGATGTCGATAAAATATTTGTATTATTCGAATAAACAGAATGAATATTATTATCGCCACCACCGTTTTCATTTATTGAATTTGTATCATTATATAATTTCTTAGGTAGTTCAGTTGCATCAGAAAATGTCTTCCATTTATCTTGACGTACATTTCGAAAAGCTATTTCAAATCGACTATTATTATTTTTACCACCTGGAACAATACGTATGAAAATCATTTTAATTCTATCAGGATATTTTCGAGCAATTTCTCCATAAATCTAAATAATAATTATATATTAAGATTTTTATTTTTTAAATTTATTATTTCTTACTTCTGGATCAAGTTCACCTGAATCACCGACCATAACAAATTTTTGTTTTATTGAAGCATAGGTAAGAATATTTTCTATTACACTTATTTTATGTTTTCGTGATGCATCATGTTTAACAAAATCAATGATACTATTAATTAGATTGAGTTTATCCGAATCAGCCAACTTTAAATGACGCATATCTATAAATAAAAGAATTTTATCATCTCTTATTTGTCTATTAAATCAATATTCATATACGAAATGAACCACCAGGAAAATTTTCTTTATTAAGAAATGTTTGTGTTGCATAATATAATTGTGAAGGCATTGCACTAACATAATGTATTGAGCATTGATCTGAAGATTCCCATGAACGATAAGCTTGAGACATACCTAAAAATATATATTCAAACTAATCGAATTTATCTTCACTCTGTATTTGAATGATAATGAAACAGAACTTCACTTTTCTCTATTGATTAGACATATTCGTCTACACTGAACGTTTGAGAAAATATTGATTAATAATCCTGGTAAAATTGAACTATTGATAGTTACTTAGAGTGACGTGCAAAATTGATCATATATCAAAACAAATGATCTAATTTTTTCAATATCTCAAGATGATTTTAATATAGAGAGTTGCAGTTTCCATTAAAACGTATCCATGTTTTCCTAGTTCATCTGTTCAAAATGTCACCTCTAGAGTCCATCGGGCTCAAGAATTTTTGGGCCCGAACTCGGACCAAACCGATCAAAATTATTGCATTCTGACTCAATTGATTGATCTTTTGTGTGTAGAATTTATCGAGTTCAAGAATTTCTGGACCCGAGCTCTACCAGGATCCTATGGGTTCTAATCAGCTTTCTATGTCATATATTTACTATGGTAGACTAGAAATACTAAAAATGATATCGTTAGATTTTGTTTAAAATTGATCATGCACCTAACGAAAAATCACTTGTCTTTCAATTAAAACATTTAAATAAAGCTTTTATAGCAAATTCTACGAGATAAAAATGTTAAACACAATGTCACTTCTATAATGTTAATTAATGAAAGATTGCTTTATTCTATCTATTTTGTAACACATTTCTTCACTCATCATTCTACTTAATCCTCTAGCAATGCAATAAGAAAATAGTTCATATATTATAACGAGATGTTATTGATACGGGGTCGTTGATTGTATATCAACACCATCTGTCGCAGTCTATGATGGTCTATTTCTAGTCGAGCATATATATCGAGAGTTGATATTTGGAGAAGATCAACTATGAAAATATGGCTACATTTTGAGATGAAAACTTTAACTCTTTATATATTAGAAAAATTGAATAGAAATTTTGAATTGAAAAAAAAAAAGCTGACCTGGTACTGCTTGAAATGGTTTTCTAAATGTATTAACCATTAATTTTGTTTTAAATGGAACTTCAGATATTTTAATAGTATCATCAATATCCGAAATAATTAAACATCCAATACGATTTTTATTTTTCATTAAATAAATAATACCTTCATATGCATTTTGTTGATTATCATTATCAAAAGCAGTATATTTTAATTCTTGTTTTTGTATATTTAATCCTTTTAATGAATCTACAATAATATCTTTATAAAAACGACCATTTTTATCAGTTGATACAATATCAGAAATAGAATCAGTTAATTTTAATTTTATTTTATGATCTGTAACATCAGTAACAAAAAATGGTTCTATACGTTCTTGTTCAATTTCTTCATTAGATGTTGAACTACTATCCAAAACACTTAGTGCTGCTTGAAGAGTAGTTTTAATAATAATTTTGATGAAACCTAAACTTCAAAAAAAAACAAAAGAAAAGTTAAATTTATCACTACTTAAAATTTAGAAACTTTACCTGAATCTACTGGTTTATAATACCATCCATTCAATATGAAAGTAAATTTACCAGGTTTATCATTCATTTCATAACCAATACTTGGAATAAGCATAAATTTTTTTTTAGGATTTCCACTGCTGTCAGTATCATTTTTATTTGTAGTAAACGGATTCTTATCTTGAAATAGATGACTTATTTTAATACTATCAACAAAAAATATGATAAAGATTAAACGTAATATACAATACATTGTTTTTATTATATAGAAATTCAAACGAATGAAAAGAAAAAAAAAATCTACGAAATTGCCTTAGCAACTAATAATAAAAGATAATCAATATTTTGAATATTCTATTCCATACTTTTTAATATTCATAGTTATATTCGTATGTTTCTTATGATAATTTACAACGATCTAAATTAATTTTATATTAGAGTTGTAAAACAAATCAAAGAAAATCCAAGGAAGAAGTGATACTTAGAATAACATGCAAGAACATCGACATTTGACAATCAATTTTCGCAATAGTACGAACACAAAATTTACTATTCAATTGTTTTAAATCTAAGTTCTTCTGTCACTCAATGTAAATCTTACAACACTAAACTAATATTCACTTCAAGCATTTACTACTGGAATCGTGGGATTTTGTTAAAGTACTCTTGCATAATAAGACGATGTATTAACATTTGAATTCCAAACTATAAAAATCAGATCGGCAGCTCTAGTTCGAATGGATCTTAACTTCATTCACATCCGCCTACTCTAATGATCATGTAATGAGCTTCAGTTTTATAAATAGTAACTTTTTTTTTCCGTATCTACATAATATAGCAGATAAATAGTTACTCTACATTAAGATCCACAACGTTTAGCTTTGTTGTATCTATAATAAACTGTTCACTTATTTTCTGTATAGTTCGATTAATGTTTTGTTCATCCGTTTCTAATTGATGCTTCTACTTCATCAACATTATAAAATGTAACTTTGTTAATCTAATATTTTGTTATCGCCCATCTTTTTTTCTCGTAGACTCTAAACTGCAGTCGAAGACAAGGATAGAAACAAAGAGCACCTACATGTATGTCGTACATAGCATTTGTACTATATGAAGAGCTGCCATGATCGAATTACGCTGTTGTTCCACAGATATTCATAAGACACTGTGTGCAAACTTTGGTATTATCAGTCATAGAATGACCCTGGACATGTCATTAACGGCTGTTTGTCTCGGATCACTAGTCTGATAGTATACTGCCTATGCTATCATATACACTTGCTCTTGTAGCTATTATGTGGTTAGTGTATATGGAGAGCTCAAGCAATTGAGCGCAAGAACTCTATGTCAGACTGGCTTCCCATCTAGAGCTACAGCTAGTACTAGTTGTAGGAAAGATGTTGAGCTACTGAATCGGTGACTAGGCAGCTTTTCATACTGCAAGGTAGGGATGCTCTTTCTTCCTGTACTACATAGTATAGCGAAACAGATAAGAAAAACAGGTGAATTTGTATACTACTGACATCTATCTTAGTTCTTCTTTAAATGGATGAATACGAACTAAACAGGAAGTTGTTATTGATTTTAAATGTTCACATAAGATGTTACAACAAATGTCAATTATTTAATATCAATCATTTAAATGGCTTGTCGTTTATCTCTTCACATTTGTTGGTATCCACGAACTATTATATATCAACAATTTTTTCTTCGTTCATCGTTTTCTACCATACCAAGCGCAGATAATGTAACACAATCCCATCGATCAGCTTCTCGTTTTTCCGTTAAAATTGCTCGATTTCTTTTTTCCAAAAATCGTCTTAAACCATATGCACGTTTATCTACTCATCCACATTATACAAAAACAGAAAGTCCTGGTGATATTCATGAGTTAGCACGTGATTTTATTCTTTCACTCGAACCAGGTCAGTAAAAATTAAAAAAAAATAGAATAAGATCTATTTGAATATATATGTATTCAAGAACATCGACGAATTCTTTCCAATGAATTAATTGAATTAGAAAAATTATCAACAGCAACAACTGGTACAATACCAGTTCTTTCTTCACAATTAGCTATTAGTAAAAATAATTTATTTGTCTATTTTTAAATTGTTTGTTTTTTTTAGTTTTTCTTGAAACTGGACTTCCATATATTGGTTTTGGTTTTGTTGATAATTTTGTTATGCTTGTTGCTGTAAGTGAAAATTCCTATTCGATGAAAAAAAAAATAACTTCATTTTATTTAGGGCGAAACAATTGAAACATTTTTTGGTGTTGCTTTTTGTCTTTCTACAATGGGAGGTAATAGAAATAAACAAAACAATATATATATATATATAATAAACTTTTTAATAGCCGCCGCTTTGGGAAATGCGGTCAGTGATGTAATGGGCGTTGGGTAAATAACTGAACATTGCTCTTGAAAAGAATATTAATAAATTTTCTTCTTTTGATTTAGTCTTGCTGACCGTATTGAACGAACATGTGGACGATTTTTAGGTATGTTTGGAGTTAAACAACCTAAATTAACGTCTGATCAATGGGGACAACGATCAGTACAGATAACTCAATTGATGGTAAAATTATTGAAAAATTTCTTCGTATATATAATTATTTTGTATTTCTAGTCGAAAGTTATTTGTATTTTTGTTGGTAAGTATGAATAATACTTTGTTTTTTTTTGTATTAAAATTTATATATCTTTTCTTTTTGAATAGGTTGTTTATTAGGTATAAATTATTTATATTTATCTTTCGTTTTGTTTAATATTTATTTTTAATTATAAATAGGAATGTGTCCATTACTCTTTCGTAATACTTCTTCTACCAATAAAAAACAGTCGACAGACAAAGACGAATAATTAATTTATTAATGATTTATATAATCAGACTTAGGAATTACTTTTACTGTTAGTTTCTAATAGAAAAAAAATGTCATTTTCTCTTTTTTTTCTTTTTTGTATTTATAAAAATAAGAAGAATATTTATTTTTAATAATTAACTAACATTAATTTTTTTTTTTACTTCGAGATATGAATCTTCTTCGTACATGTTATTTAACAACACGTTTAAGTCATTCATTCATACATTCTTTTATTCGTCAAACACATATAGAAGCATCAACAGAACAATCACCAATATGGATTCAACCAAAAAATGAACCTATTGAAACTAAACGTCGTCGTCTTCTTTATCAAAGTCGAAAACGTGGTATGCTAGAAAATGATCTTTTACTTAGTAATTTTGCTTCAATTTATTTATCAAAACTGAATGAATATGATCTTGATTTATATGATAAATTAATAAATACACCATCAAATGATTGGGATTTATATTATATGGCTATAGGAAGAATAGATATACCTGAAGAATATCAACATCATATTATGGATTTACTTAAAAATTTTGTTAAAAATGAACAAAAACAAACACGTCATCGACAACCAAATGTAGTACCTGTTTAAAGAAAACAAAAAATAATCTAAATTAACTTTATGATATTTTGTTTTTTTGAGACTATTTAATAAATGTTTTATAGTAGCAACAAAATATAATTGTAATGTTTTATTAATTTTAACCCTTTCTTGCTGAATGTCACTTATAAGTGTCATTTTTCAGGTTGTTGAAGAAGGATCAGCACTTATTGCAATAAATGTAAAGTTTGACTTTGTTATGCTGAAACTAATTATTTCCAATTACATCATTGACCGGAAGAATAGATCTTTCCAACTCAATTTATATACCACAACAAATAATGATTTATGAAGTAAATGTAATTATCGTATGCTTACGATAATATTATCATAGTATTCATTCTGTTGTAACTTTCATAGGTTTTTCTATACAATAAAAACTATCGAACATTCAATAAGGTCAACTATATCAGCATTTAAGTGATGTGATTCCAACTTTTTTTGTGCATATTATCGGATGAATTTCAGTCTCAGACCTTAAACTTTAGTCACAGACAAGAAAAAGTTAATAAAATATTCATCTTATGATAAAGAACTTTTTTCATATTGTTTCATTAAATCAAAAATTTGTTAATTTCAAAAAGTAAAATTTTGTTTTTATTGATCTAGTCTGGTTTGCAATGTCTGCATATCATACCGATTGCTGTTTTTGATTTTACAAATACATTGAATTCTAGAACTCTTTATTAATATTTCAGTTGTTTACTTAATTTATTTTCCAATAGCAAATTAAAACAAAGAGATAATCATCATAAAAATTTTTCATACGAGAAAGTCTTGAATTAATACAATATTTTTGATAGTATTAATTCTACTTTATATAATCGAAAAAAAATGTAATCATGATAACAAAAATAATATATGATTAAGTATACAACGAAAAGATAAAAGCAAATATAGAGAATAAATGATACTTATAATAACAGGGAAGAACATTGACATAATCTAAGTTCTTCTGTCAATCAATGTAAATTCTACAACAATAAATTGACGTTCGGTTTAAGCATTTATTGCTGGATTTGAATGAATTTATTAAAGTACTCTCGAATAGTAAAACAATACGTCAACATTTGAGTTTCAAACCATTAGAGCTAGATTAACAATTTTGACTTGGCAGACAGTTCTGATTGTAGTCATGTAGAATTCAAAATCTTTCTTTAATTCATTAATCACTGCATATAAGTTTGGATTGAACGTGCCAATATTTGCATTAAAGTGTTGGTATGAGCCATCCTATGCGGATGTATATGTGTCCAAGTAGTGAAAATTACTTAACGCTCAGCGATAATGCTTGTTAACCACAATACTATATTAAGAAAAATTTGTCGAGAAATATCCTAAGCTAATTGAATTTTTTCTGAAATAGTTTGATTTTTATTGATTTCAAGAGATTAAAAAAGTATTTACCTTTCCTCCGCATTCGACGACAGGAACAGTATGTCTTATAGAGTAGCTGACTAATTTCAGTTCGACAAAATAAATCAAAATATCATCGACACTTACATTGCCGAAGATGAATTATTAATCAAATTCGAGCGATGACATTCATATTAGAGCAGTTAAATAAGCTATAGATAAATTTTAGGCTCAGGCACAGATATGGTTGAACACATTATCGATACCTAATCCATTGTGTATACAGAGATGAGCATAGGTTGTGATTGCACTGCATACTCCCATGCTTCGACACTGATAGAAGGGTGGATATGGGGTAGCATTTGAGATGACTGAGGTTTTTTGGTCATTTTTTGTAATGTCTTGCAGAAATGAGTGATTTCAAAACGATTTCATCGTATGCAATATTGGAGAAAAAGACGTCTCTCTGGTCTTCTCTTTCGATTGGTAACAACCGCAGGTGTCTCGTTATTTGCGTTCTTGAGTTATCCAAAAAACAGTAGAGCGCACTATATTTTGAAATGAGCAAAAGAGCCAAGTCTGCAATCGATACGAAATATTGATCTAGTAGCACGTCCAATTCACTCGAAGGAACAAAGAAATTACAGATGGCGTTCGAAAATAGTCTAATGATTCACCAATGTTTACAGGAAGAGGTGCAACTATAGTCGTTACTTAGAAAATGGTATTGCTCAGACGATTACACAGACTTTCGAAAACAATCAAATAAGGGTGAATAAGTTCATTTAACTCTTTTGAAAAAAATTAACTTTTTAAATGTCGGAAAACGATAACAAGAGTGGAACATCGGCTGAATCTCGAGAAGAAGTCAAAGGACTAGTGGGACCAGCAATGACATCAACTGATGCGCCTCGTACGAAAAATATTTCTCAGTCGCATGCTGGTGGCGGTGCTGAACGATTGGGTCCAATTGCTGGATTGGGTACGAATACAGGTGCCGGTGGTCTAACAATGATCACATCCGATCAACAGGATAAGCATCATGCTACTGATGATTTGAAAAAGTAATTTTATTTTCTGTAACGCAGTTTTTTTAATATATTCAAGCAATATCTAATTGAAATCCTTAAAGTATGTGTGCAAAGTCAGCCAAAGAAAGCACATAAAAGAATAAATGTTCTGAAGTAGCATTTTGCCAGAGGCTAAACAGTTATATCAGCTCTCGATGTACCTTATAGCGCAAGCAACTGCAGACTATTTGTTTCCTCTCTATTGTTGATTTACATGTTAAAGAACTCCAACAATGAATATTATTCAATTTCAATTTTCCGTCATTAATTCACTTTATGCAAGTTAAAAATCTAATTCATACAAATAATAAAAATTTTCATTTTTGACTAGATGTTATATTTATTGAAATTCTAATAACTGTTTCACATATATCTGTTACATATATAAATACTAGAAATATTTGTATAAATCAAATATGATAGAAAAAAATAAACAAGAGAAATCTATTTAAGTGAACGAATATAATAAATAAAATGGAGATTTTTAGGAATAAATATTATTAATATGTGCATGACGTTCAACTAATATATTACTATTTGTTGTCACCGTTGATGGATGTTTATGAAAAGTTAAATGATGATGATGATGATGATTAGACTAGACAAAAAAACAGAATAAAGATATTTTTATTTTTCTATAATGATATCATATATGAATAGAACGTCCATCTCCAGTAGAACACATTGTACTTGGTAAATATTCTTTCTCACCAGTTATTGATGAGCCTGTTAATGTTACACCTTCATCACTATTATCATTATCTAAAAGTAAAAAAAAACATATTATAATAGTTGTGTTTTATTTTTGACCTTCGAGAATGTTTAGCAACTAATGAAAGAATATCCTCAAAGTGTCCAATGAATTTCTAATCAAGATTATACTCATATGATAGACTATGATGAACAACATCAAAGTCTAAGATAGTTCGATTTGAAACTTGTACAAATAAAACAACTAATTTACCATGAAAGTTTCACTACTTTTAGTGCTTTACATCCGATTAAAGACATACAAAAATCAGTGAAATTTTTTTCCAATGAACTAATATCCTTCAGAACTTTATTTGTGTAAAGTTTCAAGTCAAAATTCGATTTTCATCGTGACTTGAGAAGAACTACAGGCTCAGACAATCGAACTATTTTAGATTTTGACACTACCAGAAAACAAGATTCTTTTTACTAGACAAAAACAAAGGAATTCTTTACTCAAAAATCAGAGTTTTTTTTTGTTTTAGAAAAACCTTTGGCTTTCTATTGGACCTAATAAAATTTTTCTTACTGAAAAGAAAGTTATAATATCATGTAAATATACGAAAGAATTAGAGAGTTTATTCATATATTCGAAATGAATTAAAAGCATAAAAACATACTTTTATGTTTACAATATTCTCGTTGTTGTTTTTCATTAATTATAATATTTAATTCATGTTCATCTTTAAATAGAACAGACATAGCTTCCATATTTAAAGCACAAACACCACGCATAAAAGCTTTTTTAAGATATTTATCATGTGGTTTTTTATCAAATTTTAATCGATTTATTTCTTCATTTGCATTTAATAATTGTAATTCTAATTGTTTATATTTCATTTCATATTTATGATATAATTCATTAAGAATAATTTTCGATTTTTTTTTACATATTAATTCAAAATGTTTTTTCCATTCTCGTTCAATCATATATTTCCAATTGATGAATACTTTCTAGATAGAAGAATATTAATTAATATAAATCTAAGAAAACAAAAATAATCTATACTCTTTTTATCTTTTCTTCATAAAAATGTTTAGCTAATAATAATAAATATTTTTGTTGTCTTTTTTCAATATAAAATATACGCCATTGATAATAATGATAATAAAGAATAGTTTTATTTTGAAATAAATCTAATGATTTATCAAGATTTTTTTCTATTTGATTTTTTTGATCAATTATATATTCATAATGTATTAATATTTCACGCATATTTTTTATATCTTGATTTAAATGAATATATTCTTTTATTTGACTAAAAATAAAATTAAATATTTATTTCATTTTTGTTTTTTTTTTATTTTATTTTAATTTACATTTCTTTTTCATATAAAATATTTCGTTGAGCTTCTTCATAAAATTGTAAACGTAATTTATCAAATTCATTCTTTAAAAAATATACAAATCATTAAATAAGAACAAAAACAAAAAAAAAACAAATGATAAAAGTTTTACTATGAGATTTTTTTTCATGACTAAATAACAATGATCCATTTTTTCAGTTATTAATTCTGAACAATGAAGACGATGATGAACTTCTTCTGATAATATTTGTTTTTGTTGATTTTCTATTGTTAAATAAATCAATCGAAATAATTTATTTGTGTCTTCTTTTATTGCAGACAGTTTTCTTTAATTGAAGGAAAACAAGCGAAAAATACATATAGTTAAATGATCAGTGTATATATATAGTGCGATTTAAAAAAGAAATTAATCCAATATTTTGAAGATATTTTATTTTCTCGTTCATTTTGAAATTTATTTGATCTTATCGAAATTCGACTAAAAAAACTAACAACCATATCGAAGGA